TCTTTTTCCTTTTGTTTTATTTTAAATGAAGAGTATTTTCATCATTTCACAATTTTTAATTGAGAAAATTGATTTAAAAAAAAAAAAACATTTTGCACAATGAAAGGTGGAAATAGGGGTGAAAATGCCAAAAAATGAAAGGTGTGGACGTTTTCCACAATAATAGTGAAATGTGAAGACGTTATGCGCTAATTACCGAGTTAGAAACATCAAAATAACTATAATCAATCATTGATTGTATCGAAGATTAAAAAAACTCCTAACAAATACGAAGTTGGCTCTAATATCACTGTTAGAAATTTACTTATACACGCACAAGGAAATTTAAAATATTTTTCAATTCATTTCAAAGGTTGTCATTGTATTTAAATAGAAAGCGTGATTTGAATTTACCTTTATCAAGTTCTTCAAAATTCTTTGAGAATTTTGATTAGGAACAATCATGATCTTTCCCATCCTTTATGATACTCGATCTAACACTATCTTTCCATGTCACAATTGTCTAATTATCCAACCTCCAATAATAATCCATACGAGAAAACAAGGATGAGAGATTAGTGTTTCTTTTCTTGTGCTATCAAGATTATGAATGATGTAGCTGTGTAATGAAAAACTCAAACCGTAATTGTTAATTAACGGATGTTTAGGTAGGCTTGACCCACTCACTAAACATAAGTAGACCCATTAATTAATCTAACTACTTAACTCAAACCATTAATAAATAATCAAATTAATTAATTCTACAAATGTCCCATACTTGTTTTCTTTTAGTTCTTGCCTTGTGTGTGTGACACATTAGGTTCTCAATCACGATATCGAATGATGAGATTATTTTGATCTAATTAAAATAAGATAAATTAAAACCCTCCTTTTAATTTACCACTATTTCATCTAAATTAATTAATTTACGTTCGTTGTCTCTGATTGATAACTAGCAATTTGTCATGGTAATATATGTGACGAAAAAATGTTACATGTAGATGACAAAATCAAACTTATCCATTTGCCGTGAAACTATTATCCCTTCTTCAATATAATCCAATCAACTTAAAACGGATGAAATGCATGTCATAATATCTTACTATTCAAGACTGATGAATTTTCCATTGATTATTTGCAACATTCACATGATTTTTATCATACTCGAACAATTTCACACTAGGCACTTTTGACAGAGCAACATTCAATATTATCAAAGTATAACTACCCTTATATACAGGGGCGGAGGGGAGGGGGTCCTGGGGGGACCCGGACACCCCCCCCCCCAAAATTTTTTGACAATTTTTTTTTTGTATTTACCATTCTGCCCTTGGTCTTTGTTTGCTTGTCTCGT